TAAAGAAATCTTTCACCGTAAAAAATCTAAATTCTGCCCTCGCTTTTTTTCATCTTTACATACTTTAAAAACTGCATCACATTTATTTGGTATAACACTAAAATAGAAATTGTAAATGGGCTTCGTTAAGGATGCAAAGAACAATAAGTGGTTCGAGTGCCACCAGACATTTAAACAAATGGAAAAATGGAAAAAGGATTTGATTTTGTCTATAACTTAAAGTATCAAGACAAGTTTTTTTTTTTTTTTTTTTTTGTAGGATTAATCATTCAGAGTGTCTTTAATAATTCATTGAAAAGATTTCATTCAAAATCTAAAATTTTTCATTCAAAATCCATTTATCCATAAATCACACAACTATGTTTTTTTTTTTTTAAACAGATAAATAATTTAAATGGGTTTTGTGATTTAAATTTAAATTAGATTTTAATCAAACAACTGATTTGCTAACAAATCAGACAAAAACTGAACTATTTATTTTTGGTAACACTTTTACTCTTTTCTCCCCATAGACTTCCATTCATATGCACGCGAACGCATCAGACCGGAAACACAAGCTTATACAACAAGTTTTGCAGTTTGCTGCATTGGAAAGTTCAAGCTTGGTGAATTCTGACCTGCGAATTCACATCACATGGTCGCGTGAGACCAATCAAGGATTAAAATGCCACTTTTCGCAGGGCCGTACAACAAAATTTCCTCCGCACAAACTTTAGTGTGACCGCAGCATAATGGTCCATTAGTAAATGCTATTTATTGTGTATAGCTAACATTATCTTAGTATGAATGCTCTTGTAAAGCATTTATTGATCACAGTAAACATTAACTAATGCATTATTAAAATCTAAAGTTGTGCTTGTTAACATTAGTTAATGCACTGAGTTAACATAAACTAATATTGTTTAATCTAACTAACATTAACAAACATGAATTAATACTGTAATAATTGTGTAACGAATAGTTTATTCATGTTAGTTAAAAACAGTAATTTATATTAACTAATGGACTGTTGTTTTAAAGTGTTATCTGATTTTTTTTCCCACGAATAAGACAAATTAATCACATTCATGTTCTGATTTACCACAAATGTATATCAGACATGAATCATCATGAAAGCGCCAATGACATATAGCCAATATTTTCACGAAAAATAAACTAGGACACACTTTTCAGCCTTGTGTGAGTTTAGAAATCTTTATATGAGTTGCACATGACATATGAACGACAGTATAATAAATTCCTAATGCATTTATGTACATTTTTATTGGTAAAGTTTTGTTCCTTGCCACGGTCACCACTGGTTTGCTTGGTTTGGGACTTGTGGAGCTGTGCGTCAATATATTTACTCTTCAGTGTTTGGACTTCCAGCAGTGAAATTTAAACCACACTGAACTGAATTAAACTGAACTTCAACTCTGAACACATAAATTGAATTGAATTAAATTTTAAGTGATTGTAAATTTGTGGGAATTAGTGAATCTTCAAATAATAATAATAATAATAATAATTTAAAAACCAAATGTGAAAATATGTCTATTCTGATTGATAGTGTGTATTACTGTTCCACTGTTTCCGCCTATAAGCATTATTCCATTCAGCTGTCAACCATCGGACAGCCGCAAGGGTGTATTTTAAAGCATGCTACCAAAGCAGCGCTCATGGCATAAATATTAGGGTGAAGCACACGCAGTATTAAATTCATACAGGTCAGCTTCGTACATTAATCCTGTCCAGTCAGACTCCCCCACCAGTTCAGACATCACAAGGAGCACTGAAGGACCTCAAGGCCACGTCCATGTGAGCGTGCTTGTGAATGCGTCCAGGAACGTTATACCAGCCCACCTTCGGATCGGAAGATTCCCTGCAGGCGTTGTTGAAGGCCCATCCTGCCCTTTTATTTTCCAGTTCAGGGCCTTCTTTTTTTGCAGATAAATGCTCTCCGATGTAACGTGACAGATGTCACAATGCATCGCCTCTATTTTGATACATACCCTCTGATCCTGCCACAAACGATAAAGAGCGTGTACGGGGCCCAGACAACATGCTGACACTCGTGATTATTTTAGAGCGCATCACAACTGCGGCGAGCCGGCCAGGTTCCTGAGTAGATGAGGGAATATCAATACGTGCGGGTCAGAGTCACCGAGACTAAGAGATTCTCAATAGACACATCCATCCCAATGACATATATTCAAAAAGATCAATGCGCTGATAAAGTTGTATAGTTGGCTTGGAGTCGGCCTCATGTCCCTTTTTGCACCTGACATTCACCGGGATTTGTTTATATTTAAACCCAATGTGTACCTTGATGTTTAACCGACTTCAAATTGGCATAAGATCAAAAAACACATGCTAATCGATTTGGGTCCATACACAATTCTATTTTTGTACCCCATCCTCTTTCCCATTGAAACTGAGTGTAAAGAGGAAGGGCTTCAAAATTTACCCCTAAGAAATGGGACAGCTCTACAACCCCTGCACGCGTCATCAAATGTCATCAAACTTTGAAAACACACAGTTATTTATTTACACCTTACTACTGTACATATGAGATTGACGATCACGACTGCTGTAGTTACTCCAGTTGCATTTTTTTTTGTATTTATCTTCAGGAAATCACCGAAGTCTTCAAAATCATGTTATTACGCCGTTATGAGTGTGTTAAGACATATGCTTGTTTGTTGTAGAAATTTGTAATAATGACCAAAAATATTAGGGTGCATAGGGAATTGATGGAAATTAAAAGGTAAAAAAAAAAAAAGAAAAAATGCCAAATGAAATTTTAATGATTAAATTATATATATTGAAAAAGATTTAATAAACAACCAAACATTTTGAGATAAAAAATATATAATTCTGAAGTACAAGTATAACTGTATATATTTATTCATCGTATATTCATTTAATCAAATATTTATTACATTTTAGCTACATTTAAATGTCACTAAATATGATTTTGAAATGTATTTGACACTAGCTAAATCGTCATATAATATATAATTGTCATATTTGACTGAATATAATAACAGAATATATATATGTGTGTGTATATTCCCAAATGATGTTTAACAGAGCAAGAAAATTTTCACAGTATGTCTGATAGTATTTTTTCTTCTGGAGAAAGTCTTATTTGTTTTATTTTGGCTAGAGTAAAAGCAGTTTTAATAAAAAAAAAAAAAAACTATTTTAAGGTCAAAATTATTAACCCCTTTAAGCTATATCTTTTTTGCTAGTCTACAGAACAAACCATCGTTATACAATAACTTGCCTAATTACCCTAACCTGCCTAGTTAACCTAATTAATCTAGTTAAGCCTTTAAATGTCACTTAAAGCTGTAAAGAAGTGTCTTAAAAAAATATCTAGTAAAATATTATTTACTGTCATCATGACAAAAATAAAAGGAATCAGTTATTAGAAATTAGTTATTAAAACTATATGTGTGTGTGTGTGTGTGTGTGTGTGTGTGTGTGTGTGTGTGTGTGTGTGTGTGTGTGTGTGTGTGTGTGTGTGTGTGTGTGTGTGTGAGTGCGTATGTACAGCAAAAAAAAAAAAATGCCTGAGAATTTCTTTGATTTTCACTGTTTTATTTTATTATTGAAACTAACACCATAAAAGTATGATCTTTATTTCCCTTTTACTTTTTAAAAGTGATGGAGGTACACTTTCTTAGCATCAAATAAAATGAAACCAAAAAGCTTCTTAGATAACATTAAATGTATTATTGTAGTATTTAAACAATCAGAAAGAAAAGAACAATTTTGTTTTATATGGAACTTAGTTTCAATCAACTTTCAAGTATTTTTTATTAATAATGTGACAGGGCTTAATTACATTTAACGATTTCTTAAAACATGAATTTTCCACTACCGAGTGAGGTCTTATATTCTCATGTACCGATCGCCTCGGTGATGTGTTTTGCACTGTTCAAATCTGTAGTAAGAGCCTGTCTGAATACCACAGGAATAGCTGTTCGTAGTGTGCCTCATTTTAGTTTTATTCTTTTCCTAGTTATTGACACACTGGCGTGATGTTGACATGTATGACTGGTACGTCATTTGGGATGCCTTGTTGAACATAGCTACACTGAAAACATTATAATTTATGCACTTTATTCTCCTTTATCTTTTCAGATATTAGTCTGAATCGTTTGGTTTTGTAATGCATACCAAACCGAAAGCCTCGCACCGAATGGTTCAATACGAATACGCGTATTGTATGTATATATATATACATACACACACACACACACACACACACACACACACACACACACACGCACACACATTTTTTTCAGATTTAGATTAGATTAATTATAACAACACTGTGTCGACCTGACCATAAACTAAGCAAATTCACTTTTGATAAAAATTCAGGGTTTTTCTTTTTAATAGCGAAATTGCCCTGTAAATGAATGAAAAGATTTATTCAGATTTCCTACTGTGATTTATTTACACGAGATGTCCTTGGCCAGTATCTCCAGGCATAGAGCTCTTTATAATTTCATGTTAACATTCAAGATTTCAGCTCGAAGAAAGCATTATCTATAAACACAACCAATTAGCACAGACTAAACACAAAAGCCGATGACAGCATCTCACGTTGCTTTGGTTTTCAGGTCAACCGTAGCTTTAGTCTCAGCCTATCTCCACCCTCCAGAGTTTGGTAGAAACTCTGTCCGCTTCTTCCCATTAAAGCAGGCCTCTAAGCAGGACAGCTTAGCGCTATCACCTCAGGCCTACCCTACCATTTCCAACACGGGGTTGAACCCAATTATCCCCCAAATTAAAATGAACAGACTTGGCACGGGGAACAATTACTGCTGCGACTCCATTCCGCAAGCTAAATGGGCCAAGCAAAAGCAGTCCCTGTTTGCCGGTCCTGGCCGAGGCCCAAAAGTCTGAGTGCTATTTGGGCTGTGCTTACAATAGTAATGTATGCGGGTAATGGCTAGGTTAGGGGTGACGCCAGTCGTTTGATTCGTGCTGTTTTTCTTTGCTTCAGAAGACAGGAAGCTGTTCGTCGGAATGCTGAACAAACAGCAGACGGAGGAGGACGTGTACCGTCTTTTTGAGCCCTACGGAGTCATCGAGGAGTGCACTGTGCTTAGAGGTCCCGACGGAAATAGCAAAGGTGGGTTACGCCACCTTTTATGGCATGATGATATATTAATAGTCAATATGTCAAAAGGAACACTGTTATGTTGACTGAGGATGTGTTTATTTGATGAAATAATTCGTGCAATCTAAGGAGGGATTCCCTTGACTCCATTTTCAACCAAAAACAAACAAAATAAGTTGTTTATTCACACAACAACAGCGTATTTGGCAGACCTGAAAACAAACTTTTTAATGATTATATATATATATATATATATATATATATATATATATATATATATATATATATATATATTTTTTTTTTTTTTTTTACTGTATTTTTATCAAATAAATGTAGCCTTGGGGAGCAGAAGACATTTCTTCCAATTATATTAACAAAAAAATAAATAAACAAACAAATCAACAAAGAGATAAATACTATAAAATGTTACCTGAAGTGGGTGTTTATTAGACTGTCATGAAACCTTTCTTTTAATAGAAGGGTGCTGAATATCAAAGTTGAGGATCCACATACAGTTTATTAAACAGACAATGGTCAACCAGGCAATGGTCAAAACAGGGGCAAACAAAAGCATACAGGTAATCAAAAAAATATGTATGTCATATTTAACTGTATATATTTCGATATATTCAATGTATGGTGAAATCATTGGAAACAATAAAAAAGGCAAAGGGTCAAAAATACGGCTTCACAGGGCATGACAAGACAAAAAAAAAAAACACTTTGTGGTGTTACAATAACAAAACACAAAGAAGTGTGTGTGTGTGTGCTGAGTTTATAGTCCTGGTAATCAGCCAGAATAAGTTTCATCTGAATGTATGTCTTTATGAGTGTGATTGATGAGTGTGATTATTGTCAGCTGTAGGGATTGTAGATTGGCGCAAGGCATTATGGTAGTTGTAGTTCGTGTGGTGGCAGATGTGTAGTTCTCCAGCGATCTGCATAGGATTGCTAGTGATCGTGACGCATGAATGTGAATGAGCTTTTAAGTTTGCTTATGACAACTGTCATTGAGTGTCATTCACACAGTTATATTATTTTAAATGCAAAAGTGACATTGTGTGAGATGTCTATGTTATAACAACTTTTCAACATGACTGGTCATAAATCTGTATCTGTCATAAACATGATTGTCAAGAGGCCATTATAATTGTGTCATGATTTTTTTTCAAAAGTGTCATTAATATTTTTTTTTCTTGACCATAACTGTTGTGGAAACTGAAATGTCAGTAAATATTAATGATGCTGTTATAAAATTATTTAACACTTTAAGTATGGATATTTTAATGAGAAATTTTATTGACAAATTCAGTTTTTTTTAATAGCATCATGACATTCATGTTTATTACAGATTTATGCCCAGTTATGTTATCTTGGAAAAGTCATGTTGTCACAGCAACGACATCTCCAACAATGTCTTCTTTGCACTTAAAATCACAAAACTGAGCGAATGTCACTTAATGAAAGTTGTCATAAGCACACATGAAATCTCCCTCATATTCATGACTTGCACCATATCATGATTATACACTTATGAACACTCCCTGTTCTGTATTTTCTGAAAAAAAAAAAAAAATTCAAGAAAAGAAACACCAATGAGTCACATGATTCGTAAGCCATATCTTATAAGTCCTTATAATATATAGCTACCAGTAACATGTTACAATGCTAGAAACAAAAACATGGAATTGAGTTCCTCTCACTCCACAACTAATCCTTTAAATATAAATTTTTAGTACATGAGAATTTTGACAAAACAGCACTTAATATTTTAAATGAATATTAGGTCTAAAACATTTTTATGTGAAACTGTGGGAAACGCACTATAAAAATAGCTGCATGCACTCCATGTTACAACTATAAATTAACTGCTTATTCGTTAATTCTAAATGTTTCTTCGCCTTTAAAATTAAAATCTTCATTTATTTATTTATTTATTTATTTATTTATTTATTCATTCATCTTTTTTCAGAAAATAACAATTGGTTAAAATTACAAATGTTTTCATTTCTTGATATGGGAAATCAGAATTATTCCACCAAATATTTATTTCTCAATTCTTCTAATAAAACAACCAAACAAACAAAAAACATTGTTATTGTGTTGTCTAAAAATAAATATACACTCACCGGCCACTTTATTAGGTACACCTGTCCAACTGGTCGTTAACAAATTTGTAATCAGCCAATCACGTGGCCGCAATTCAATGCATTTAGGCATGTAGACATGGTCAAGGCGGTCTGCTGCAGTTCAAGCCGAGCATCAGGATGGCAAAGAAACGTGATTTAAGTGACTTTGAACATGGCATGGTTGTTGATGCCAGTTGGGCTGGTCTGAGTATTTCAGAAACTAATGATCTACTGGGATTTTCAAGCACAACCATCCCTAGTGTTTACAGAGAATGGTCAGAAAAAGAGAAAATATTTAGTGAGCTGCAGCTCTGTGGGTGCAAATGCCTTGATGCCAGAGGTCAGAGAAGAAGGTGTGGGATTTGTGATGGTGTAATGATTCTTGAACATGACAATGATTTCACTGTACTCAAAGGCCTCCACAGTCACTAGATCTCAATCCAATAGAGCATTTTTAAAATGTGGTGGAATGAGAGATTCGCATCATGGATGTGCAGCTGACAAATCTGCAGCAACTGTGTGATGCTATCTTGTCAAAATGGGCCAAAACCTCTGAGGAATTTTCCAGTACCTTGTTGAATCTATGCTACGAAGGATTAGGCAGTTCTGAAGGCAAAAGGGGGTCCAACCCGCTAGTAGTAAAATGTACTTAATAAAGTGGCCGGTTAGTGTATATGTCTAAATATATAAATATATGTCTAAAAACATGGCACCTTTTTAACATTTTAAGCTTTAAATGACAACATTTTTATTTTAAATTTAAAAGTAATGTAATCAGTAACACAAAATCTGACGCGCCTATAAATCATAAATCCAGAGAAGCTGAATATTTTATTTTTTTCAAAACATAACTATACGCAATCCTCAATCAATTTCTGGCAGACGAAATCAAGTTCCTCCCTCTATTATTCTTCTCTTTGTGTACTCTCCTAAATACTAAAACTTAGCGTTGACATTTCGCTCGGTCCAAAAACCAACAATTTGTCACTCATTGAACACAGAAGACTCTTCAGAGACGCAGAAAAAGCACACATCTGAGCGCTCAACTTTTTATAGACTCCATTGTTTGGCCAGCGAGGCCGCAGGGACAGTGGTAGACACTAATACAGCCTGGCATTTGGAAAAGCACAGTGGGAGTCGCCGTTCTTCCCTCGCCAGTCGCACACAAATTGCTGGAGGATTATTTCTGCTACTTAGGGGGGCCGATCGGTGAATATATCCAGTCTTATGGAACAGACCAAAGAAGATAGACGTCATAACAGTCACCGAATAACTGTTTCATTTACACTACTGGAAAAAAGGTTGTGATATTCTGCACTCAGTAAAAACTGTAAAATTGTTAAATAATATTAGAATTTAAAATGATTTTACCTCCTGAATATAGTTTACACTTTAAATTATTCCTGTGGTTTGGTTATTTACACTACTGGGATAAAGATTGTGACATTCTGCATATTCTGCATTCATTTGATTTAAAGTACAGTAAAAGCTGTAAAATTGGAAAATAATTTTTTAATTTTGAATAATTTTACCTGCTGAATTTAGTTTAAAATACAATTTATTCATGTGTATATATATATATATATATATATATATATATATATATATATATGTATACATAAAGCATATTCTGCATTTGTTTGACTGAAAATACAGTAAATATTGTACAATTGTGAAACTTATTAGAATTTAGAATAATTTTATTTGCTGAATATATTTTTACATTGAATTTATTCCTGTGGTTTAGTTATTTACACTACCGGTATAAAGGTTGGGATATTCTGCATTTATTTGATCAAAAATACAATAAAAGTTGTAACATTTTTTGATGATATTAGAATGTAAAATAATTTTATTTGCCAGATGTAGTTTGAAATGTCACTTATTACTGTTGTTTAGTCCTTCACATTACTAGGATAAAGGTTGTCATCAGAAATTTGGCATATTCTGCTTTTGTTTGATCAACAATACAGTAATTTTTTTTGAGGAATGTTGTTTACAATGTACTTATTTTTTCTGTGGTTTACTTATTTACACTACCAGGATAAAGGTTGCGATATTCTGCACATTTAGCATTTGTTTGATAAAAAATGCGGTAAAAAACAGTAAAATTTTGAAATATCAATAAAATTTAAAATTATTGCTTAATGTAGATTAAAAGTAGTTTAAATGTTTTCATCAGAAATGTAGCATATTTTGCTTTTTTTTAATCTAAAGTACAGTAAACGCTGCAACACTTTTTGACATTATTAGAATATAAAATAATTTACTTGCTGAATAGTTTAAAATGTTACTTATTAATGTGGCTAAGTCATGTATACCACCAGGATAAAGGTTGCCATCGAAAATTCTGCATATTCTGCATTTATTTGATAAAAAATAAAGTAAAAGCTGTAAAACTGGTAAATATTTTTAGAATTTTGAATAATTTTACTGGCTGAATTGATTTTTAAAATATACTTTATTCATGTGGTTTAGTCATTTACACTGCCAAAATGAAGGTTGTAATAATCTGCATGTTCTGCATTTATTTGATCAAAAGAAAAAAAAAGTACAGTAAAAGCTGTAAAATTGGTTAATATTTTTAGAATATTAAATAATTTAACTTGCTGAATTTAGTTCAAAATACATTTTTGTTGTGTGGTTTAGATACTTACACCGCAGGGATAAATGTTATGGTCAGAACTAAGTATATTAAAAAAGCATAAAAAAGTATATTCTACATTTATTTGATAAAAAAGCAGTAAAATTGTGGCATTTTTTTTAGAAAATAATTACTTTCTAAATATAATTTTACAATTTAATTTATTACTGTGGTTTGGTTACACTAATGGTATAACGGTTGTACTTCAGACACTCTGCATTAATTTGATGAAAAACAGTCAAATATTTTTTGAATATAAAAATAACTTTACTTTGACGATTTTATTTTAAAATACAGTTTATTCATGTGGTTTAGATGTTTACACCACAGGGATAAAGATAGTGGTCAGAAATATAAAATTTAGTATATTTTGCATTATTATATTTTGCACATCAAAAGTACAGTAAAATTGTTCAATATTATTTTATTTTAAAATCATTATACTTGCTGAATGTAGGTCAAATTGTCTGTAACTCCTGTGGTTTAGTCATTTACACTACCAGAATAAAATTTGTAAATTTGAAATTAACAAATTCTGGATTTAAAAATATTAAAATCAAAAATACAGTAAAACTGTAACATTGTGAGTTCAATTCTTTAATTTAACTTTTAAATCTTTTGCTTGCTGAATGTTGTTTACGATACTTTTTTAGTTACTTACACTAATAGGATAAAGGTTGTGATATTTTGCATATTCTGCATTTATTTGATAAAAATGCTGTAAAAAACATTAAAACTGTGAAATATAATTAGAATTTAAAATGATTTTACTTGCTACATTTAACATAAAAGTCATTTATTCCTGTGGTTTAGTCATTTACACTCCCAGGATAAAGATTTTTTCATCGGAAATGTGGCATATTCTGCATTTATTTGATCAAAAATACAGTAAAATTGTAAAAGAAAAAATAGTACAATTAAAATATTTTTGAAGAATGTTATTTAAAATTTAATTTATTCCTGTGGTTTAGTAATTTGCACTAAATAAAGATTGTAATTTTCAACATATTCTGCATTTATTTGATAAAAAATGGGGTAAAAAACTATAAAAATTGTAATTATCATCAGAAATTAAAATGAGTTTACTTGCTACATTGAATTAAAATGTAATTTATTCCTGAGGTTTAGTTATTTACACAATCTGGAGAAAGGTTGTGGTCATTTTTTTAAACAAGCATATTCTTCATTTATTTGATCAAAAAATACAGTAAAACTGTAAAAATTGTGAAAATGTATTTACATTTTTTATATATAATTTTACTAGCTGAATGTCATTTATTACAATTTACAATTTAATTTATTCCTATTTCGTCATTTATACTATACCGGGATAAAAGTTGTGGTCAGAAATGTAAAAAAAGAAAAAAAAAAGAAGCATATTATGCATTTATATGTTCAAAAACACTGCAAAAACTGTAAAATACTTAAAATTGTTCTTATGCAAAATGCATCTTCTTTCTGAGTTTAATTTGAAATGTCATTTACTCCTGGGGTTTAGCCATTTACACTACCACGATAAAGGTTTTAGTCAGGGGTTTTATAACAAAAAGTAGCATTTTCTGCATTTATTTGATCAAAAATACAGTAAAAGTTATGCAATTATTTCTGCATTTAAAATGATTTTACTTGCTGAATGTAGTGTAAAATGTTATTTATTCTGGCAGTTTAGTCATTTAATAAATATATCTTAAACATAAATGTTGTGATGAGGATGCATATATTTGATCAAAAATACAGTAAAAAAACTTTAAATGACTGTTCTTGCTGGATGTAGTTTAGAATGTTATTTAGTTTAGTCTTCATTGTGACATGTTACTCATTTATATAATAATCATTTGCTCAAGGAACATTTCAGTGTTGAAACTTAATAAAGTACCATTCAATAAGTACCATTCCCGTATTTACTTTGACTCAGCAAGAGCACATATAACTGCATGTAAAACATTTGTAATGTAAACACAATATATTTTATTCCAAATCAATGTTATTTTAACTTTCTTTAGAAATAAAAAAACAAAGTAAAAGGTTTCACGGTTTCCACATTCATGTGTACATTGCTATTTATTAGAATCATTTTTAAAGATTCAATACCAATAATAATCAATCATAACAAAACAGCAAATCAGCATACTAGAAAGATTCCCGATCACTTCCGATCACAAGATTTAGGAATCACTGAAGACTAGAGAAGATAAAAGAAATCAGTGTTGCATCATAAGAATAAAAAAAGACATCAAACAAGAAAACTGTTTTTTTAAACTGCAGTAAAATTTCAAAACTTTACTGTATAATAGAACAAAATAAATGCAATGTCAGTGAATTCTTTCTTAGTTCTTAAAAATTCAAATCTTAGTATATCTTAATATATATATATATATATAAGCCGCATTAACACAAACCCTTAATATTTTATCAGCTTCTTCAACGATTTGCAACCCGACTGCTCTCAAATCCCAAATGGCACGATGAATATCAGCAGCCGCGCTTAAAAATGTTATCAATTATCCTGTATTTAGTGTTTTTGTTTGCATAGATGGGCATGTGGCAGTAAATAGCCCGCTTTTTGAGTCTCTAGAGGAAAGGTTTGCTTACATTGGAGGGTTTTCTGTCTGTCTCTAGTGTTTTAATGTGCTTTTCTACACTGTGGTTAAAGGGTTTCTATGTGTGTGTGTGTGTGTGTGTGTGTGTGTGTGTGTGTTTTTCTCCATCAGGCTGTGCTTTTGTAAAGTTCTCCACACATGCTGAAGCTCAGTCCGCAATCAGCGCTCTGCACGGCAGTCAAACCATGCCTGTGAGTACACACTCCTCCACAACACACAAACACTCTAAAAAACAACAAAAACCCTCTTATTTTCTGGCCTATTTTCTTTCTTTGCTGTTCTTCTGACAGACGGCAGCTGCAGTGACTTTTATACATGTGTTTGAATTGCTTTTAGGGTCACTGCATTACTGGAAGGGTCATGCAAAAAGAAATCTTGTTTCTGGTTCATAGAAAATGCTGTCTTTGTGTTTCATTTTTAAAGTGTCAATCTGTTGACTTCAGCGAACAATTTCTACAGATATCATGACATTTATTAGGATTGATTGATTGATTGATTGATTGATTGATTGATTGATTGATTGATTGATTGGTTGATTGATTGATTGATTGGCATGACCTTTTTCAATCAGGTAATATTTATTATCCACTAAGTTAATTCAAAGCGTTCCTTTTTTGTATTAGGTATGTTTTTAAAACCATATACAGTATAACCTAATATTTTTATTATTACTTTAATATTTACACTATTACATAATATTTTACTATTATTGATTATAAATATTAATTTATAAAGGTCATTGCATAAAGAATAACACTTTATGACATTTTACAATCACTCAAAAAATTTTGTTGGACGTTCATTGAAACTTATTTAAAATGAGCTGAAATAACACAATTCTTGAGTTTTTTGAGGGGGAAACTCTTTGTTTTAAGTTTAATCCACTTAAATTAACATGAAGGAATTACTAGCTACTTAATTCCTTTATGTTGTCTCAACACAAATCAATTTTGTAAAACCATTTTTTTTACAGTGCACTAAAATAATGGTTTCTTGTCTTATAAAAGGTCATGATTTTAAATTTTGGTTGTTTAGATTTTATCATATTAGATTTTACCATTTTAGATTATATATATCGTTGAAATCTGAATTCATAAATTCCCTATAAAATTTCTTTTTAAAATATTTAAAATTTATTACAACTGGGTAGGTTAGGGTAATTAGGCAAGTTATTGTATAACAATCATTTGTTCTGTATACAATCGAAAAAATCTAGCTTAATGGGGCTCATAATTTTGTCCTTAAAATGGTGTTTAAAAAAAATCAAAAATGTTTTTATTTTAGCCGAAATGAAACAAATAAGAGAAAAAAAAAAGTTTTATCAGACATACTGTGAAAATTTCCTTGCTCTGTTAAACGTAATTTGCGAAATATTTAAAAAAGAAAAAAAAATTCAAAAGGGGGCTAAGAATTCTGAATTCAACTGTGTGTGTGTGTGTATATGTATACAAACATACACATATATATATATATATATATATATATATATATATATATATATATATATATATATATATATATATATATATATATATATATATATATATATACACACTTAAATTTCAGTCTAGGTAGCTTTGTAGTTGTAATGTTAAACTTTATAACTCGTATAACAATGACTGCCAAAGACTTTGCAGCTGAATGAAGGCAAACCAGGCAATTAAATCGATTCTGCGCAAACAAATAAGAAAAAAAAAATCAGTCACTTCAACTCTCAAACTGCATATTTGGCCATATTGTTTTGTTGAATAGCTGCATTGCCAGCATATCAGCACGTGGCCTTTGTCCGGCCGTCTCAATCTCGAGGACTGGACGCTGAGCCATAAAAAGCCAACTATTCAGCACAGTCTGTCTGAATCACACAGCCATTCAGTCACAAACCCATTGTTCGGCTTTCAGAAGTAGCTCACACACTGCTGTTTTATTTGCTAAAAGATGGTTTACTCCTGACAAAATGATGGACTGTCAAAATGCTTTTTAATATGTGCTTTTATCACAATAAAACTTTTTTAAAGAGGTTACAACAAAATATAATTCAGATGTGTTTTCTTTTTTCTATGCACTACCATGTGATCCCAAACCTGTATGACCTTATTTATTCTGTGAAACGCACATGGAGATATTTTGAAGAATGCTCTGCTTATTAAATGATCAGAAAATTGATAATGATCAGCTGAAATATGTTGGACCTAATAGGACTTTTATTTTGACAGAGATGCGAAAGAAGATTTTTTGAATTATACTTTCTAATTTAGCGAATATGTGAAACAATATACATTTACTTGCAGCAACTGTTTTGCATTCGTTCGTTACGTTAGCATCTTTTTTTTCTGTTTGGGCTGTTAACAATTGTGGATTTTTGTTTTGACAGTGCAAAGAACTCTCTCTATATATATTACTCCAGCAATCTCCAGCTAAACTCCAGGTCTACCAATACATCAGCCAATAATTTTATTTATTTATTTATTTTATTTTATTTATTTTTTGTTGAGAATGGCTGCTAAGATTTTGTATTTTGCCAGTGCTGGAGCCTGGACCTTTATTTTGAGAGTCCTGAGAATGCAGACTTTTCAATTTATTTATTTATTTATTTATTAAGAGGAATTTGAGCCTTGGTTGATTTTTTTTTCACATTCAAGGAACACAATTTTGCAAATAGGATAATTTTACAAGTCCCCGAGGGTTAAACAGTTTATACTCTCCAGGTCTGGTAGGCAGCACTTTTAGCTTAGCTTAGCATAAATCATTGAATCGGATTAGACCATTAGCATCTTTCTCCAAAATTTCCAAAAATGTTTTCATTTACTTTCCTGTTGCTGCTCGATTCATCTGCAGTTACATCATGTACTTAGACTGCCTAAAATAGAAAAATTGCTATTCTTTAGACTGCTATGGCTAAGAACTATACTCTCATTCCTGTATAATTAGAGTAATCTATGCTAAGATAGTGCTCACATCAGACCTGTAGAGTGATTAAAACATAAAATACTCAACTGTTTAACTCTATAGTCGAGTTGTAAAATGAGCCTTTTCCTAAAGAAGTGGAGTGTGCCTTTAAAAATCAGTGGTTTACCAATATTCCACACAATGTATGTCATTTTTTTTTTTACATTTTCGACAACTGCTAATAACTTTTTCTGTCAGTATGCTCCATGCTTTTATACTGAAAACGCAGTTGTGATAGTATAATTTTACAGTTAATGACATTATTTTCACATTTTGCTGAACTGTCGCTTTAAGACAAAGAAATGCGCCGCTAAACAGCGCGAGAGATGCATCCACCTTCTGATCTGCTCTCGGTATAACCTTTAGGGTCAAGCAAGGTGCAAATGATTCAGGGGGACATTGAAATGTAAACCACAGTCCTAAAATCTTCAGCGCTCAGACATCTCTCTCTCTCCCCTCCGTCCTCTCGGGACATTAGGCAATAGACTTGTTTACCTCACCTTTCACCACATTGACTGGTGAATTATTCATTGGCATGTACTGAGGTGGGAGTGGAGGAGAGAAAAAGAGAGAGAGCGCGAGACAGAAAAGTAGAAAGAGAGACAGGGGAAGCTCACGGGGGAGGGATGGAGAAGGTTTATGTTCATCTCGGAAGGTAAATTGATTATGGAAAACCTTACCGGCCTCCATTCTCTCGAGTCTGGAGTTGTAGAAGGAGGGGGTCGCGACTCGCGCGGCTCACAGGTGCCGAAGTGAGATGTTTAGCCCAGATAATGGAGTTCTTCTCAAGGCAGGTCTTGATGAAGCACTCATCCATCTGCAAACTCTTCAAAAAGAAGCCGCGGCAAACTTAGCGAACACCCACCAGCCTCTCACGCCCTCAGCGCCGCCATCTGAGAATCACATGCTTATTGAAGTAACTCTCGCACAAGACATGATGTGATTTATAAGTTGAAGTCATACGTAATTTATTTTCTGCTGTCAAAACAAAATTCTCTGATAAAAATGGTAAGCAGTCAGAGTGTGTTAGATGTTTAATTTAAAACTTTGCGTTGCGCGATAGGAATAAAGACTGCACCAGAAGTAATTCATTGTTTTTTGGTGTTTTCATTTACAAAAACAATAAATTAAAGTGTTAGTTCACCCATAAAATTATGTCATTAATTAGTCACCCTTGTGTCATTCCAAACCCCTGAGATCTTTGTTTGTTTGTCTACGGAACACAAATTATGATATTTTTAAGAAATTTGAGAGCTCCCTCATTGTCCATAGACAGCAAGGTTCCAAACTTAGGCACATAAACTCATTGTGTGCACATAAAACAAAAATAATGACTTTATTCAACAGTTTCTTCGTCTCATGATCAGTGTAAGTACAAGAGTGTGCCCTATACTGACACCGAGGTTAGAAATCTGTTGAATGAAGCCATTATTTTTGTTTCATGTGTGCACAAAATTATTCTTGTGGCTTGATAGTTATGTAAATATTCAGAGAATCACATGCTTATTGAAGTGACTCTCGCACTAGACATGATGTGATTTATAAGTTTAGGGCATACATCATTCACTTTCTGCTGTCAAAACAAAACGCTCTGGTAAAAATGGTAAGCAGTCAATGTTTAATTTAGGCTTTGACGTTGCGTGATTAGAATATTGAATGCAACAGTAGTAATTTGATGTTTTTCTTTTTTGTTTTTTTACAAAAACAATTTATTAAAGTGTTAGTTCACTCATAAATTAAAACTTTGTTATTAATTAGTCATCCTCTTGTCATTCTAAACCTCTTGGACCTTCGTTCATTTGTCTACGGAACCCAAATTATGATATTTTAGGTAAAATTTGAGAGCTCCTTCATCCTCCATTAAAAGCAAGGTTCCCGACTTGTGCACATAAACTCATCGTTTGCACATAAAACAAAAATAATGACTTTTTTTAAACAGTCTCTTCTCCTCATTGTCAGTATAAGTACAAGAACGAGCCCTATACTGACACTGAGGAGAAGAATTGGTTGAATAAAGTCATTACTTTTGTTTTATGTGTGCACACAAAAAAAAAAAAAATCTTAGCTTGATAGTTATGTAAATATTTGGAGAATCACGTTTATTGAAGTAAAATTAAGATATTCTTGGTGAAATTTAAGAGCTTCCTCATCCTCCATAGACAGCAAGGTACCTGAATTGTTCAAGTCCAGAAAAATACAAAAAAGCATCCTCCAAACAGTCTGTATGCCTTCAGTGATTAAAGCG